ATATAAGTAAGGGTAGTCTACTAAAGTCACACATGGCCACAGTATATAGAACATTCCATATAAGTAAGGAAAACCTAATTGAGTCACACATGGCCACAGTGTATTTAACATTAAATATAAGTAAGGGTAGTCTACTAAAGTCACACATGGCCACAGTATATAGAACATTCCATATAAGTAAGGAAAATCAGGTAGCGCTATAGAAAATTGATAAAATCAAATTCACCAGTCTGAAGTTAGATGCGAATGATGATGTATCAAATAACAAATTTATTAGATTTTACATGGACATGAAAATATTACAACATTTATTGTGATAAACTGAATTCGAAATGACACACCCACCTGAAGATTATACGAAGTTGTCTTTCATTAATACTTGTTCACAAGATGAAACTATTTGCATTTCTTTACAAAACAAAAAACTCTGCCAATTTCCACATATCCTTTGTTTTTCCGTGTAAGTTTTACTTTCCCACCGGCATACAAGCATTACCCAATATAGATAAGCAATGTTGTTGATATATGTTTGTACCCGGAAGTGCAAAATATCGTGAAATCTCGCAAGTCACATGACGAGACTTACATATCCTATTACCTGTACTGGCACGGGAACAAATAAAATCAAAGGGCTGCAAGCTCTCTGGTATTTTCTGATCTTTGCAATCTAAATCGTACTGTATATATGTATGCATTTTCATGCATAAGGGTATTTTGATATACTAAAATTCGTCTTACATGGCACCGACTGCGTTTAGGGCGATGTCGGTTGAAAATTGTGCCGAAATATTTTCAATTTGTCCTGCTTGATCGGAAAAGAACAGAACAGAGCAAAACATGTATTTTATTTTCACCCAAGCATTTTTCAATACAATTTGGAAACAAAAGACATTCGTTGTAAAATGTGACTGTGATCTATGGTGTTGCAAAAAATAAAAATAAATAAAATAAAACTATAGCGATTTATAAATTTTATAATTAGATAATATGCACTTGTATTTCTAACAAGCATCTGCTTTATAAAAACAATTACTTCTTTTGTTAATAAGTCATTACATACAAAGAAAATATTGAGTAAAAATAAACATACAGTTAAAAGGAAACAAATAAATAAACTTATGAGTAATATTAAATGAAATCTTGAATTAAATATACAATATGGAGGCATGATTTTTTTTTACAAAATAATTAATACATTTTACGAGGCTCCCTAAGACATGTATGTTAATTACTTGCCATTAATAGTGATTTAAGTGAAAGCTCGCATTCGCGCATTAAATTTGCGTTTTGGAGAAAATGTTCTATTTGTCGCCCGAAAAAACTACAATGTAAAAAGTAATGCTGTTCGATACTTATTTTATTGTCGCTACACAATGAACAAAGTATTTTGTTATAAGGAGTACCATCGTAGCTTCCGATTTCTATTTGTCTATTAGTGTTTATGTGCACACGTTTAAGATTATGTATATGCACGTGATTTGCTGGGTCTGGTTTTGTTATAAAGATCAGGGCGGCGGGGCGCTAATTAGCGTGTTTTCATTTCACGCCCCGTCGTTTTATTTCTTACATCTCGCTCCTCGGCACAAATCAGACACCATACAAATTGGGAAATTTAGATTTTATCTAGGAGATGAAAATATTGAGATATTATGGTGGCTGAGTTGTGCCATTTTTGTTTTCGCCCCACGAACCCGTCTAGCAAAAAGTCAAGAATTAATAAGCATATTTTCGCCCCGCCCAAGCCGTTTTATTTTTTAAATCTTGATCCGTGCCCCCGTGGGACGACGTTTTATTTATTAAACTTTGCCAAGCGCTCTCGCTAATAAGCGTGTTTTCGCTCCGCGCCCCTGCCATTTTAACTTATTAATTCTTGACTTTTCGCTTGGCGGGGTCGCGTGACGAAAACACGAATGCCACAAATCGTCTACCATTGATATAACACCTTTTGCAATTACTATTTTATTGTGTGCATATTGTTTTAAAGTTAGATCACATTTTGTTGAGAAGCTTTAAAATTTTAAGAGCCAGATTAACAATGTTTTATGATTTTTATAATTTCTTTGGATAAAATATATACATTCTTATATCATATCAGCACATTATATTAGCGCCATGTCAATTTGAAGAAATCGCACACATATAAGAAGGTCCATGCATGCCCCAACTGAAAATGTCCTCTCGCAGAAAATGTTCATGATGATTTTCAAACATAATATCTTTAAATAGTGATATATTATCTCAAAGCTATTACAATCAACATTTAAAAAATGTGAAAGTGCCTACATTGTTATAAACTTCACCAAATGAAAAATTGTGCAGTGTTATAGATATGTTATAAGTAAGACAGATATCGTATCAAAACCGTCGTTAAACTCACCTTTTGGCTCAGGTCATATAAGCTTAGACCTGTTTATAGATCAGAACAGAACAGAACAGAACATATCTTTATTCAGACTTGTACATAGTACATCATCTTCACCACATATATATATACATAACAACTAAATATTCTGCACATGATTAAAGCGTTACAAATCAATACAATTTTTGTTTTCATATAAACTGATCTTCTTTTCTGGTATGAATGCGAAGAGAGTGAGCAGATATACGTAACCTGGTGGTGACAAACCTTAAATTATAGGGTACTATGTCTAAATATTTTTCTTATGTAAAGGATCTTTTAAAATGTGTGTCTTCATTTCTGCTAACTGCTCCAAACAATTCTTATTTAAAACAATCAATCATTCGAGTTTTAAATACAACTTGGAAAAGTTTTAAAGATAAACAATTATAACTTTTTACAAATATATCAGAAAATCCATAATCATCTAGAATCTTTTTTACTCGACTTATCCAATTCGTATGACCTTCTAAACTATCTTGCACCGCTAAATTGTACAATTTGTTAAGAATAATATTTTCAGAATTAACAATTTTACACGTAAATTTGATAATCTTACAATAACGTTAAATATACAAAGGATATCGCTCAAGCTCACCATATACAGCATAATTCCTCGAATTAATAGGTACTTTAAGTATACTTTTACAAAACTTTATATGTAACCGTTCAAATTCCTTAGACTTGATAAAAACCACATACTTCACTGCCATACAATAGTATTGTAACCTACAAAAGAGTCAAACAATTGACAGAGTACTTTTAATCTTAGCGGTATATTTTTTCAATTATATAATAATATATTTAAAGCTTTTAATGCTTTGCCAGATAAATATTCTTCATTCAGGTCAAAATTACAATTGTAGGAAAATAACGTTCCTAAATAGTTAAAACTGTCTACAACTTCAATGTCTGCGCCATTGTATGACCATTTTTCATCTTTTTTTTTAAATTCCTCTTTTTCTAAATACCATAATTTTAGTTTTTGACGCGTTAACTTCAATGCTCCATTTTATAGAATAGCTATGTAGTAAATCAAGACTATGTTGCAATTCTTCTGGTGTTTTTCCAAATATAGCCATATCATCAGTAAATAGCAATAAAATAATAACTATGTCATCTATTAACAAACCGCTGTTTAAAATAACATGTAAAAACAATTCTATATCGTCGAGGAATAATGATACTAAAACTGGTGACATTATCTCCCCTTGTCTTAATCAAATAGAGTATTAAAAAAAATCAGAAAAAGAATTGCAGTGTTTAACACATGACTTTACAACATCATACATATCTTTAATTATTCTAAGAACTCTACCTTGAACTCCGTATTTAAAAAGCTTAAGCCATGTGCGTTTCTGTATATAGAATCAAAACATTTCTTTATGTCGATAAAACCTACGTACAACCTTTTATTATGATTAAGATAATGCTCAATTAAATTGTATAAAGAAAATATTGCATCTATAGTTGAACTACCCTTTTTAAAACCAAATTGTGCATCCGTTATTCCCTGATTTATTTCACAAAAAGAACGATTCTATTATTCAATACTGATGTAAATAACTTTGATTAACAACTTAACAGTGTGACACCTCTATAATTGTTGACGTCATATTTACCACCTTTCTTGTAAATGGGTATAATAATTCCTTTCTTTCCATTTTTCTGAAAATACTCCAGATTCTAAAATAACGTTGAAAATATCACATATGTACGGCATCAAAATATCAATAGTTTCTATAAAATATTCATTTAAAAGACAATCATTTCCATATGCTTTATTTGGTTTTAATTTTCTAACAGCTTTCATAATTTCGTCAGAACATATGGGGCGGCCAAATCCGACATTAACAGAGCAACTGCCAGAAATATGAGTACCAGTAAACTGTTCAACTTCTTCATTTTGACATGAAAAAATGTCATCTTCAAGTTTTGAATAAAAAATGAAAGAATTCATCTTGCGTAATTGAATTTGCTGACTTAAAGTTCTTTTTTGAAAATATTTTCAAAAACCTTTTGGTTTACAAAGTCTTTAGCTTTTCAATTTCTTCTAATTTTCTAATCTTATACTGAGTTTTCTTTTTTGTATCAACTTCTTATTCTTTTGTTTACAATCACAATAATAAATTCTACTAATATTTGATTTACAATTGTTAAAAACCCTTAAAGCCTCTAGATAACAGTTTCTAGCGCTAACACATTCTCCATCAAACCACTCAGCGTTTATAACAGAAGGCGAATCTATAAAACATGTCGTTTGTGATTCTTTATAAGTTTTCAAAAAATATTTGTCAGCAGCATCTTTAACAATATTCGTAAACCCTGATACAACAACATTTATACATTTTTCGTTGGTTCAATATCATGTACTAATTGATTTAATAGTGGCAATTGGCAATTTATTCTGGTGCATGATCCATGAAACAAATAACGTCTTATTTTAAGAAGATCAGCACTTAATGCACCACGTTTTATCTATATATATATATATATATATATATATATATATATATATATATATATATATATATATATATATATATATATATATATATATATATATATATATATATATCTTTATATATCTTTATTTGAACAACTTGTTTTAGCACGTAAAATATACGAATTATTTTGTATTAAGAACTATTATTTCATTTACACAATATGCCGACATCTTCACTGTGAGCACAATTATGATTTCCCCAACCTATATGCGAACATTGAGATAAGACTGTTTCAGTTCCCGTACATCTAACGTCGTCTAAATATATTGGCAATAATAACCCAGCGCCAAAGTGTGCCTTCTCAAATACTAGAGGATTGGTCCTGAAATGATTATATCAAAATATATAATTATCTGTTTTTATCATGCCATACATCTCTTGATTTTACGTGTGTTTGACATAGAAAATCAATATATTTCCTTGACGAATCAAACAGTAGATAAAATGTCATTGTGCATTAATCATGATTTCGTTTTTAAAACCTCTCACAATCATATATTTTCTAAAACAAACACGTTTTGCACAAATGATTAACAAGAGTGCAAATTTTGAAAATAGAGAAAAACGGAATCCCCAAAGAAAGCACAACATGGCAACATTGACAATGTATATCGTTTTCATGCATTGAAAGAGGAACTACCCTATTGAGGTAAAATCAATTCAAATTGAGGCTTTCAAATACAACTACTTAGGAATAATAAACAAGTTTAATTGAAATATCATTTCTAAATCTTGTAATACACCTGAAACCAATTTTCTATTTTTAGTAACAGTGGCCTTTTTTACGCAAGCAGAATCTTCACATAAGCTTTCTATACACCAACTTGTATTAAAATATCTCACTCCCAACTCAAGTTATTGACCGGAAACCAATTTTCTATTTTTAGTAACATTGACTTTGACCCTATGAACCCAAGCAGTATATTTGCATAAGCTTTCTATACACCATGTACACAATTCTCATTCCAAACGCAATTATGGACCAGAAAATGATTTCTATTTTTAGTTACAGTGACCTTGATCATGGCCTAGGAGACACTAAAGCAATCGTAGATAAAGTCATTTTATAATTTACTATACACAAAGTTTCATTACATACTCAAATTATTGACCGAGAACATATTTTCTATTTTCAATAACAAGAACTTTAACCCAAAGGGCCTAAAAGATATCCACAGCAAGGTCTTTACATAAGCTTGTTGTACACAAAGATTAATTAAAATATCTTATTCCTTACTCTAGTAATTGTCCGGATACATATTTATTTTAATAACAGTGACATTGATCATGACTCTACGAGACCCAAAAGCAGGCAGATGAGCTGGCAGTTGTTTGGGGATGTTTGGTTAAATGTAGTAGTTGTGATTGTAAGGATATAACATTATATTAGATGTTTGGAAAAAACAAAGGGTCATAATTAGGTCAAAGCATATCAAGTCACTAAACCAAAGGCAATTGATAACTAAGAATTTGTAAAAGTTTGGTCAAAATCCCAAGAGATATGTTACAGTAATTACGCGCAGTAGAAATTGTTTACTATATATTCCATATAGGAAAAATTAACCGCAGGCCAGTATAATCATTGCATACATAAACAAGTTTGCACACTTATAGATATGTGACAAAACAAATATTCATGCAAAAACAACTGATATGTAAAACTGTAATACAGAGGATAAAGTTTAAGATAACGCGTTTCTAATAACAGAACTATAAGAATTCGTTTACACAGTAATATGATTAATAAGACAAAAGCAGATTCTCAAAGTTAAACGATTTTAAGTTATGCATGACGCCCCGTACCTATATGTATGGAGGCTATTCGTTGCCAAAAATTCAGCCTTTGAAAATAGACAATGCATGCTTCGGTTCTGCTAAACAGATTAGTAAAAATCTTATTGTCGATCCGACAGTTACATACTGCACTGGTATTAAGAGTTTTGATGATCTCGATTTGATAAAATGGAAGCTGTTAACATGCAACTTAGCTTAACTGCAAACTGTATTCAGAAATGTATAACTTCAAATTTGCTACATGTAGAAATGTAAACAGTAGAACGTACACAAGACGTTTAATACTGTGCATCATGACGTTTCAAGAGTGTAACTGCACCAGTTAACACTCTCAGATTGACAACACCACACTTTCCATTTACATTCTAATGCGATTAACATTTGTAAACGATATTGCAACTTCCAATTATGGAATTATAACGGAAATAGACGAAAATTAATAGGCTGAGCCAATTTTCACGAAAGCAGAATATAAAGAGAGGTTACTCTTGCTAGTACAAAACATATTCTAGCAAAGGATATTTAAGTAATGCAAAATTGTTTAATGTATATTGTAACAATGTAACAACGTTTATACCGATAATGAGCATAATAATATGCAAAAGCTAAAGTTGGTGAATTAACATAAGGGAATGTTTCCCATATATAAGGACACAAATCACATTTTGTTTTTTTTATCGATAGGATTTTGTGCCTTCAAACGTTACAACGGTATAGTATTCGTTGTCATGTCTTTACATTCAGCAAACATTACTAGATACATGGAAGTCACTTTTGGCAACACGGATAAAGAGAACTGAACAGTAAGCTTGTGTCTTCTTTCTTTAAAGGACTTTATTGGGTTGTAGAAAACCCAAATGTGTTCACCATGTGTAAAGCTATGGAACAATTCAAAGGTTACTATCGATAATTTTGAAGTGTATTCAAGAATCTCTGTTTACCTCCGTCGGGAGATATTTTGAGTCTTAGGATGTGATTTAGCCTTTTAATATTAGATATATGTAAGCGGACCTAGGTTAAGGTCTTCTTTTATGAATTGTATACTGAATCAATGACAGCTCTAAGATCTGTGTATACATGCTGTCAATAACTGTTACCTAGACTTACTGTCTATCTGATCAAAAGCAGAGACCTATTTTATGTACATGAAATACTACACAGTATATTTATTAAGTTTTGTAAGTGATGGCTTATAGATAAAATAAACAAAGTATACATAAATTGATAATCAACATACATACCTTTGGACTCATTTAAATATTATTATTGGAAAAAAATGATAAAAATGGGAAATATATCTATACAGTATGGTAAAAATAAAACGTTACGTACGAAAGGGTACATACAACTTTGGTTATAATTTTACTAATGTAAAAAGTTTTTTCTTGTCAAGTTATACGCTAGAATTAAGGTTACATATGTAATAGTAAATGCTACTACTAGGAAAGACAAAAGCCAGAATTTGGTTTTTATTCGTATTTAGTCGTATCAAAATCTCTATCAGATGTTGACTTGAAAATTTGAATGTGGTAAGGTAGCAGCTTATCTGTCAATGTTACTTATTTCTATTCAAATTGGATTCCTCACAGTAAAAATAATTTATCGTTGAATATAGTCTTATCAATTGGTATTACTTCCTTCCTCAGACAGTAAGTAACCTACAGTGGCATAAAGTTGACGTTTGTGTGTTTTTATTTATCTCGTTGACACGAGATAGCTAAGTCGTGGCCACGAGTTATTAAGTCATGGCCACGAGATAGCTAAGTCGTGGCCACGAGTAACTATGTCGTGGCCACGAGTTACTAAGTAGTGGCCATGAGATAGCTAAGTCGTGGCCACGAGTTACTAAGTCGTGGCCAAGAATAAATAACAAATCAGATTACAACATTTATACAAATTTCCTTAATTAACTAGACATGTGCTATAGTACAATGATGCCCCTACTTCACCAGCCTGTAAAAGTGCAAATTATACAACTTTACATTTAGCTTCACTGTGACCCTGATTTTGAACCCAATGACCTCGAAATTATTAGATGTCGTCTACTGATCAGGTGCAATGATCTTTCTGGGTTATATAAACCACGGCTTATCCCTTCAAACTTACTCATCAGACAAGGATTTTACCTTATAGGCTATCTTCTGTCCATGGGCAATGTCCCTACTTATTTCTTCTCATGTTATCGTATATAATGCTTTCTAATATTACCCTAAAGACAAGTTCGATGTGAATATCTTGATTAATGTTACATGTAAAAGTAAGTTGTTAAGTTTAAAAAAAATAATAATATATATATAGTGTATTCTGATTGGTTAATTGTCTCGTGGCCACGAGTTAGCTATCTCGTTTCCACGACTTAGTAACTCTTTGCCACGACACAGTATCTCGTGTCCACGACTTAGGTATCTCGTGGCCACGACTTAGTAACTCGTGGCCACGACATAGTATCTCGTGGCCACGACTTAGCTATCTCGTTGCCACAACTTAGTAACTCGTGGCCACGACATAGTATCTCGTGGCCACGAGATAAATAAAAAATACACACATGTCACCTTTGTGCCACCGAGGTAACCTGGTGAGGTGTTTTCTTTCTTTTTTTTCTCTAGGAAATGCGATATCTACAACGTTTAAAAACTTATATGCCTATAATCATTTAAAGTCCGCTGATGTTGATTGAATAAAGGCATAGAATGGCAATCATGCAGGTGAATTATGTTTGGTGAATAACTCAACACCTAAAAGGTGTGGTAAACGGAAACTACGCCGGCGCGTGTTCTTGTTTCCTTCTTATCGCTGACGGTAATTACCGAAAATGAGCAGATATATACGTTTATTTACGACGATGAAGTGGGCGGGAACATGGGTGGAGCTTATTTTATCTCCTATTGAAAAACGTGTAAAGCTGGATTATGCTGATCCGAATCATGATGGTTTGACAATGTAAAGCTAAGAAAGTAACTTCTGTTTTGTCGGCGTATACACGAACAATGAGTATTCCGCATGTTATGATGAACACTTGGTATTGCTACTATCAGAAAAACAGTTAATGTTTTGTCGTTTAACAAAATGTATTTTGTTGAAATACATGTTTACAATGTTAAATCGGCAAACTCAATCCAAGAATGCAATATTGGAGTTTACATACAAAGAAATACAATTTATTTTCCGTAAACAAACTGTTCAACTCAGATCAACAAGGCTGGATTTTTGGCAACGAATAGCCTCCATATATATGACCTAGTATTTACGAACTTCTGCATAGTCAACAGCATGGTTGTGGGCCGTGAATTGTCAATTCTCACAGTCATGTTTCAAGTTAAACGAATTCACGAGCATGTGTACGTAAAAACGTTATGTATAAGGTATTCTTGATTGAAAACTGTACTAATAATTATAATTAAAAATGTTCATACTGCAGACTCTCGTTTAAACATGCTTTGGTAAATACAACTATCAGACTATTCATCCTAGACACGATACGTCCAAAGGCAGTCGGCGAGTTACTAGGTTGGTCTAACTATTATATATGGGAGAGACATATAATTTCAAGTGCACGTCAAAAAGTTAGACAAACGCGTTCGCTTGTTTAAATGTACTGTAGTGTTCAAAAAGAGAACTTTACAAGTCTGAAATTTTGGCAACGAACGCACTCCAAAGTCAGGCATTTAAAAGATATGCTTCGAATATAATTTTTACAATTGAAAATAATCTATGGTGACCTTGCACATATTGACCAGAATTATGCCCAGTCTCATGAAAGTTATGTAATAACTAAATTCAAAATGGTCCATACATTTATTTTCGCATCTTTATCTGAGGTAAGATGTTTACAAATGTCCGCCGTTGAATTAGCTGAATTTTGCTGAACATTTGTACCACGTAATACTATAATTCCTGTTTGTACGTCCGGACAATCATTTGCCTTTGACCTCTTAATCCGACGTAAACCTTAAGCCTAGAGATAATGCGCGCGGCACAATGTCTCATTATGATGATCATTTGTATGAGGTAATGCTTAATTAGAAGTAATACAAAATATGGACTTTTATTATCTCCGTTGCCTTTGATCTTGTCTATACATAAACAAAGACTATGATTATATATAAATGTCTAATTTTTTGTTATTGAACTGGCATTATTTATTTTCATAACTTGTGATCCTGATAAATTAATTCATCTTTTTTGTCCATTCACGCATTTTAAAATATTTTTTCTGGCCTTTAATTTCTGTATGTGACCTTCATCTTTGCAACTGGTACCTGACTTTCAAACGTGACCCTCAGTCTTATAATGACAAAAATGTGTGTCATTTTACATTAAAATCAGTTCTGATACGGACAAACAATTACCCCTGACATCTAAGTATGACCTTAAATTTTGACATACTTACATGTTTTATGCGCGCGACATAACGTCATTGAAATTGCATAGTTTGACCTAGATTTAAAGCGTCAAAACGGGTTTGAAACATCAGCATATTTGTTTACAGTAGAAGTAAAATTCACAGTTTCACCAGATAACTGTGACCTAACTGTTATGTTTCCTTCGACACAGATATAAGCAACCTTTTTATCACACCCGTGAACATGTTACGAGTAGGACAGCTTTATGCAGTTAGAACTTGCTATATCAATGTCAGTTTCAAACCGGATTACCGACATATGTTCTTCTATCTTTGTCTCTTATGATTAACATAATTTTCCATGATACATTGTGCAACAATCAGTTTCATGATAAAAAAATACCAAGCGCACAACTGGTGTACTCACAACCAACGGATTTGCTTGCAGCCAGTTAAAGGGTGTGCGTATAATTTAAGTCAATATTTACAAAATGTAACGTTGCAACGGTTTAAAATTATAGCATCATAAACATAGCAAAAACGTCACTTTAAGTTGTTTTCTCAGAGAAGACGTGCATTTATCATCTAGTTTCATATTAATGTACCCTTATGTTGAAATTTTATCTTTTGATGAAAACGCCCAAACTGTAATATGTGATACAGTTGCTTTGACGCAGTCTCCAAAATGTTAACATTGTTTGATGGAATCCTTAAATGAAAAATAGTAGAGCCCCACCTAACGAACACCTAGTTTACACGACTAATCCGCTATTACGACCAATCTTTCAAAAACGGATTATTTTTTTTCTCAATGGTCTTTCTCTCCGAAATTGAGATAATCCCGCTATTAATATTGATACGACAACTTTCTTCCGACCTATTAATAATTACGCATGTATTAAGATCCCTTTTTCAGAAAATACATGAATAGTTGTAAAATAATGCGTGCAAACATTTGTCTGTCAACTGCCGTAGAAAGTTTGAAATAGTTATTGGCCTGAGCTTCTGAAGTTTGCTTTTCTTGAAAGTTATGTTGCTTATAAATTTTGCTTCCTTTCAATTGAATACCTTCGTAACAGTTGTTTTAATCAATGCTATATTGATGAAATTTCATTATCATTCCGATATTTAGTATTTTATAGTAATAAAGATACGAAAGCAAAATAATGATATAAAAGAAAGTATTGATCTTATCAATGAAAGTAAATAATGATGTTTTTCCTGAATACATTAAATAATACAGCATTTTCATTCAGACAAAACACCAATCACTTTATCATATGGTTTAACCATGCCTCAAAGATGTCCATAAATACCAACATTACTTTAAGAGAAAATCCCAAATTAAAACCACCAAAATATTAAGACCATTGTCTTCAGAACCACATACGTTGTCATTAGTAGGGTTGTACTGTTCTTCCAAATTGTCCATACGCATATTATCATAGTTTATTCTGATTTTTCCAGTAAGAGTGACTTTGATTTTGGTTGCATGGGCCTGAAATTTACGCGCGAATCACCGTCTTTCAAAAGTTAACCTATCTTTGAGTTAAGTTATATCGAAGGCCCATTATAACTTATTATTGCTATCATTTTATTTCTCAAAAACATTTTGTTATTCTTGTAGCTAATCACAGTTCCTATAACTCAATAGCCATACACATGACCTATCTTTTGCATCTTTTTCTCTGTCCTAGGCAAAATTTTACTTCAATATAAAATAATGATTTACAGTTCACTTATCAGCAGCTTAAAAATTAAGATATTAAACATTTAAAATTGTTAGAAGTAGTGCTTACTTGTTAAGTCACACAGTATAATAGTTACAATTACAATTTAATTATAATTCTTACTTTACAACATGTACTTTCTTTATTTGAGAATTTCACTGCAGGTTTTTGCGACAAATCTTACAACGCCCATCATCATGCGGTGACATGATCAACGGTTGAGAGCACTTTGATTTCATTCCATTTTATCTATATTGTAAAATTGCTATCTTTTATATTAATTTGACATCAAATGATACAATTGAATGATATTTGGTGAAAATAATGATTTCATGTTAATAAACGACTGGTAAACGACGGCAAAACGCATTGGAGGTCCGTAACATTTGTGTTGCAAAAAATGATGCCAGTTTCAAGGACAGAGAAACAGAATGTTATAAAACGTTATGGTAACGCTGGTATGACACCGACAGAAAATTGAAAGCTTAAGCTTATTTGACCAGAATCGTTCAAAGAATTCTGTTTTTGAATGTCAAAACAGATTAAGAAACGGGTGAGACAGTGTATCGGATAAGAAACGACCGAAGTTAGACTGACCTAATAATGCAGAACGGGCCCCTACAGCCTTCGAAGAACCCAGACGTCGCTCTAAAGCGTAAATTAGTGACATCCTAGTTTTTCAATGGACTGTGGTACATTAAATACATATAAAAATGACAAAGGACAATAGCATATACAAAGTGTGTGCCAGATAAGTACTATGGCTATTGAAAACAAAGATATGGAATAGCATCAGACGCGTCATCAGTCAGAATTCTTACGGATATACGGCACGAAAGGCAATTCGTTCCTATATATTATTGCTACGAATAATAGGAACAATAGGATAATCTAAATGAACTTTACTTAAAACGATAATCGTTTTTATGGAAAACACCAAATTTACTGCACTCGGTGTAATCTAAACAAGCAAACTTTGCATAAAAGCATTTTCCCGGAGCTTCAATTCGGAAATAGCACGAGGAAAAGTTTTCTGATCCAGCAAACCTACGTTTTAGTGTTCAAACACCTTGTGGTCAACAAGTTGTCGCACAAGCGCGATATGTTTTTTTCTTCAAATTTTCAACAGAGCATACTTTATGACATTGACCTTCACACATCAGGGACAAAAATAGGGGTCTGCTTACTTATTGAGGGTGATCTTTCTAATAAATATGATCTTAAAGACTATGGATCAAATTGAATTCTAGTTATTGAGCATAAACAAAGTGGTTTTACGGCCGACACTTGCAAAACAATATAGCCCCTTTTTGAAAGAGTGCATAAGATATTACAGAAATTAGTTAACATATATAGTTACTGACCCTGGATAATGAAGCATCTTACAAACAACACTAGCTGACAGCGCACCAAACCCATCATCGCAAACTGTTCCCCAATTCCCATTATACCATACTTCCAGTCTTCCTTCAATTTGGTTTGATCCGTTAACCAATCGGACTTTAAGAATAGCATCCATATTTAACAACAATGATTTTGAATTTATAACTTTGCATACATGTGTTTTTAGAAAGAGGATTTCCACCATTATTTTCTCTTTCAAAAACATTTAAACATCATTTTATAAGACAAAATGCAGCTGTAAACTGAAAAAATATATCGCATTCAAAGTGTTAACAAATAAAATGTAATTGATCTCCATTTCAATGGTACATTAAAACGTAAACTATATTCAAAATTTTTCTTTCTGCAAATATATCAACATTGTAGGACAGTTAAAAAAGCCGTACAGACATGCATACTAGCTTTTGAAATGCTTGCACTATTTTTGAAATATAATTTACATAGATTGTGTTTAATGATGAACACATGAATAAGTTAATGATTACCTGGTGTACATGAAATGCCAACATCGTTTTTATGATAACAAGCATGTGTTCCCCATTCGTTATGGTGGCATTGAGATAAGGTTGTTTCATTTCCCGTACATTTGACATCGTCTAAATGTATTGATAATTGTCCAGCGCCAAAGTGTGCGGAACCAAATACCAGAGGTTTAGTCCTGTTTAAATGATTGTGTATCTTTCAAAAAATCTAAGACATATTTTAGTTGTCGCGTTCTATCGTGCTATAAATTAATTCATTGAATTTTGTCTTAAAAGAAAAGCAAACAGGATGTCAATTGCTATTTTTCATTGATATATCTATTATCTTCTCAGTCAGTGTCTATTCTAGGAGGGGGATGGGGGATTCACTCATATTTTTGAGAATTCTCCTATATTTTTTCAGAGACAAGGGGGAATTTTTATACAGAGAAAGAAGGAAAAAGATCTACAACATAATTTACTATAATAAATTCAAATTTTTCGATACCCCAAGCATTTACTTATTTATTACTTACTGTGGATAGTTTAGCATCCTACAAACAACAGTTGCTGACAGCACATCAAACCCATCATCACATACTGTTCCCCATGCCCCATCATGCCATACTTCTAGTCTCCCTTCATATTGATTCGATCCGTTAACCAATCGAACTTTAAAAATAGCATCAATAAACTTAAACACTTATTTGCATTTATTATGTTTGCTTATCATTAATTATAAAAGTATGATCAGGCTTTCCCTTTTTCTAGTCTTTTAATTTTTTAAGACTTAAAATATTAAGCTGCCCAATTACTTAAATCAATTAATTTTTTATTCAAGCACATATAGACGCCAAAAACATATTTTCATAAACACCATCAATTTCGAACAGCACCATTTGCAAATCAAAATATCTAGACATTGATTCCTTAGAAACAATAAAACCTACACTATTCCATTGACCCAAATAGTTATTTAAAGACCACTGATGTAAATGGCACCCTTTGTTTCAAAGAAAGTCTTATAATTTACGTATTATAATTATTATCATAATTATTATTATCATTATTATTGCCTTTCGATGGCAACGCGGGAAAATCCAGAACTGTTCAAGGTAGAAATTACTTATTTCTACTGTAAAAGTTGCATTTAGAACCAAGCGAAAAAAACAACAATAAGTTTATGCAAACTATCAAATCAAAACATTAAAACCAGTAAATAACAAGAACAACAATAATAAAGAAAACATAAAAATATTTTTTTTTTCATTAATACCAATGTAACTTAGATAAAAAATGCAATGAAAGAGAAAAACACGCAATAAGGCGATCAGAAACTGCTTAAATGTGGACTATAACGTGTATCTATTTACGCTAAACCGGTGTAACTTTCCTTTTATCATTGCCAAGGTTTGTTTATATGGAGGTCTTAAGAAACGTTTTTAAAAGGCAAATAGGTTTAAATCGTCTTGAATTTTATAAACATACTAATTAAGATAAATGTCGTTATCTTTAAAATCTACTGTATACAGATCCATTATTTTAGAATCAATTTTAACCCATTACTTCATATACACGCCTTTTAACGCCTTTTTCACCCCCCCCCCCTTTTTGTTGTCTCAAATGGTGAAAAAATGCATTATTTAGGCCCTTAACACTTGTTTTTGTTTGAGAAATGTTGTTAAAAAAAGTGACCACTTTTTCGGCGCGGCCCCCCAACCAAAAGATACACCAGGGGGTTGCCAGAAGGGGGATGTGCCCCCTTCTGTTTGGGGGGTTTGAATGGGGGTGGAGTCCCCCTCATCGCCAAGAAAATTTTGGACTTGTGAGAGGCTATAAATGACCCCAGATTGATCATAAGGTAACGTGTAACCAACGCTGAAAAGCATTTGACTCTATCACAATCCATTGAGAATTTACGGCACTTTGAAATCAATTATAATGGAAAAAATCAACGCAAAATAGTGATTTTTGGCAATTTTGAGATGTCCCCTCGTTGCCATGGTAACAGAAAATTTAAGCCTGAGCATGTTGTTGCAAGGGCAATGGTCCAGTCAACATTTGTGCCAAGTTTGATTAGTGTTGAAGCAGTTTTTATAGTATTATAGCAATTTGAACTTGTAACGGGAGACTTTTCAATGAAAACAGCCATTTTTCACAAAATGCTCATGAAGTAATGGGTTAATAAAAAAAATAAAAAAATCTACAAAACAACAATTTTTCTTCAAATTTATATGACAGGCCATGTTTAAACATGGAAAAACGCGATTTAGAGTAATTTCAAGTATTTTCATCATTTTCTGTTAACCCATTACTTCATATACACGCCTTTTAACGCCTTTTTCACCCCCCCCTTTTTGTTGTCTCAAATGGTGAAAAAATGCATTATTTAGGCCCTTAACACTTGTTTTTGTTTGAGAAATGTTGTTAAAAAAAGTGACCACTTTTTCGGCGCGGCCCCCCAACCAAAAGATACACCAGGGGGTTGCCAGAAGGGGGATGTGCCCCCTTCTGTTTGGGGGGTTTGAATGGGGGGTGGAGTCCCCCTCATCGCCAAGAAAATTTTGGACTTGTGAGAGGCTATAAATGACCCCAGATTGATCATAAGGTAACGTGTAACCAACGCTCAAAAGCATTTGACTCTATCACAATCCATTGAGAATTTACGGCACTTTGAAATCAATTATAATGGAAAAAATCAACGCAAAATAGTGATTTTTGGCAATTTTGAGATGTCCCCTCGTTGCCATTGTAACAGAAAATTTAAGCCTGAGCATGTTGTTGCAAGGGCAATGGTCCAGTCAACATTTGTGCCAAGTTTGATTAGTGTTGAAGCAGTTTTTATAGTATTATAGCAATTTGAACTTGTAACGGGAGACTTTTCAATGAAAACAGCCATTTTTCACAAAATGCGCATGAAGTAATGGGTTAATAAAAAAAATCAAAAAATCTACAAAACAACAATTTTTCTTCAAATTTATATGACAGGCCATGTTTAAACATGGAAAAACGCGATTTAGAGTAATTTCAAGTATTTTCATCATTTTCTGTTAACCCATTACTTCATATACACGCCTTTTAACGCCTTTTTCACCCCCCCCCTTTTTGTTGTCTCAAATGGTGAAAAAATGCATTATTTAGGCCCTTAACACTTGTTTTTGTTTGAGAAATGTTGTTAAAAAAAGTGACCACTTTTTCGGCGCGGCCCCCCAACCAAAAGATACACCAGGGGGTTGCCAGAAGGGGGATGTGCCCCCTTCTGTTTGGGGGGTTTGAATGGGGGGTGGAGTCCCCCTCATCGCCAAGAAAATTTTGGACTTGTGAGAGGCTATAAATGACCCCAGATTGATCATAAGGTAACGTGTAACCAACGCTGAAAAGCATTTGACTCTATCACAATCCATTGAGAATTTACGGCACTTTGAAATCAATTATAATGGAAAAAATCAACGCAAAATAGTGATTTTTGGCAATTTTGAGATGTCCCCTCGTTGCCATGGTAACAGAAAATTTAAGCCTGAGCATGTTGTTGCAAGGGCAATGGTCCAGTCAACATTTGTGCCAAGTTTGATTAGTGTTGAAGCACGTTTTTATAGTATTATAGCAATTTGAACTTGTAACGGGAGACTTTTCAATGAAAACAGCCATTTTTCACAAAAATGCTCATGAAGTAATGGGTTAATAAAAAAAATAAAAAAATCTACAAAACAACAATTTTTCTTCAAATTTATATGACAGGCCATGTTTAAACATGGAAAAAACGCGATTTAGAGTAATTTCAAGTATTTTCATCATTTTCTGTTAACCCATGTACTTCATATACACGCCTTTTAAACGCCTTTTTCACCCCCCCCCCTTTTTGTTGTCTCAAAAATAGTGAAAAAATGCATTATTTAGGCCCTTAACACTTGTTTTTGTTTGAGAAAATGTTGTTAAAAAAAAGTGACCCACTTTTTCGGCGCGGCCCCCCAACCAAAAGATACATCCAGGGGGTTGCCAGAAGGGGGATGTGCCCCCTTCTGTTTGGGGGGTTTGAATTGGGGGTGGAGTCCCCCTCATCGCCAAGAAAATTTTGGACTTGTGAAGAGGCTATAAATGACCCCAGATTGATCATAAGGTAACGTGTAACCAACGCTGAAAAGCATTTGACTCTATCACAATCCATTGAGAATTTACGGCACTTTGAAATCAATAATAATGGAAAAAATCAAACGCAAAATAGTGATTTTTGGCAATTTTGAGATGTCCCCTCGTTGCCATGGTGTTAACAGAAAATTTAAGCCTGAGCATGTTGTTGCAAGGGCAATGGTCCAGTCAACATTTGTGCCAAGTTTGATTAGTGTTGAAGCAGTTTTTATAGTATTATAGCAATTTGAACTTGTAACGGGAGACTTTTCAATGAAAACAGCCATTTTTCACAAAATGCTCATGAAGTAATGGGTTAAGCAAGCATACCTTACCTGGTGTACATGAAATGCCAACATCGTCATTGTGATCACAATCATGTTTCCCCGAACCTTTATGTTGACATTGAGTTAAGCTTGTCTCAGTTCCCTTACATTTTACTTCGTCTAAATGTATCGGTAATGCTCCAGCGCCGAAATATGCGGATCCAAATACGAAAGGATTAGTCCTGAAAAGGTTAAACTAATTATCACATGTTGTGTTCGTCGCAGAAAAAGAAAAGAAAAATTTTCGTTTCATAATAAAACAGAAGATATATTGTTATTGTACATTTTAAGCACACCAGAGCACAGAATTTTGAGATTTGGGGTCTAAATAGTTACATCCTAGCGTGGGGGTCATAGTTATAGTAACAACCTAAAATGTTTTCTTTTCTAAAACAATAAAGACTAAAGCTGAGAAATTTGGCAAGTAGCATTATCTAGTAAACGTTTACCAAGTTTACTAAAATTATAGCCATGGGACCTAATTGGCCCTCCTGTCTCAGGAGTTCATAACTATTCTATGTTTAAAGTTAAAACGTAAAAACTTTTATTTCTTTCTCAAAAGCCATGATTACTTAATCTGATTGGTAGGTGATCATGGTTTTCCCTTATTTGTAAATAGATTCAACTTCAACACTGTGACATATTTTGCTTTAGTTTTCAAAGCTACAGCTATTGAATTTTGACTAGATGCACATACATGAACTTTGAGATTCGTTGACAAAGATTTTGACCCAGTGACTTCGTTTTTTTGTAAAAAGCAAAAGCCATAACATTTGAACTATAAGCACATGTTTCAGATTCAGAATTAAACTTTGACCTAAAAGTTAACTTTGGCCCAGTGACATACTTTAATTAAACAAAGCTAAAGCCATGGAATTTGGACTATATGCAGTTTTAGACGCGGAATTGAAATTTGACTTAAATTATGACCCATAGACTTACTTTCTGTATTGAGAGCTACAAAATTTAAAATTTAAATACTTTACAGAGTCAGTTGCATTTTTGAACTTTGATATAAGTGGACCCATAACTTGACCAAGCGTAATACCTTTTGCAGTGAGAGCTTTGCGTATGAATTTTCTACTACATGCACAGTTCTAGATGCATATTTGAACTTTGATATCAGTTAACCTAGATTTTGATATAATGGCTGCCTTTCATTCATAGTTATCATTATCATCAGTTCTCTGTTCGATTGAGGCTTTATATTCATTGCCCTCATGTATGTCTGTTTTGAACCTCTTTTAAACATATCTTGCCAGAAAACATGCACGTTTGAATGGTTAGTTAGCTTTATAATTTAAATTTACTGTTACTTACTGTTGATAATGTAGCATCCCACAAACAACAGTTGCTGACATCGCATCAAACTTATCATCGCATACTGTTCCCCATGACCCTTTATGCCATACTTCCAGTCTCCCTTCATATTGATTTGAACCGTTCACCAATCGAACTTCAAGAATAATGTTAATATTGTAAACCAATAATTTACTTTTCATAATTTCTCAAACAGTCAGATATGGGAGTGTAATGGTTTTTACTTTTTTATTTCTGAGAAAATTGACATTTATTTCTTACGTATTTAAGGTGACAGCGACGTTGACCTAAATATGTGTGTCGCGTAGATCTAATCAAAGTGTATCAACATATATAGTTTCATTGTTATACCTATATTAGTATTGAAGTTAAGACAATGAAGAGGATAACCAGCGCCGAGGCCGACGTTTGAGTCAATCTTTATCTCCATATTTCGAAAAGTAGAGATGAAAAAGAATATAGCGATTAGCTAACGAATCGATCAGTCAAAGTGTTTTAAGATTTTTTATAATCAACGCGTTTTAAGAATTTGTAAACTATAATTGATTGATATTCGTCTTCTTATCATTATTATATGTATTAAGAAAAGTATGTTGAAACATTATTATCATTAAAATTCCAAGGTTATATATGATGATTTAGAATTATTCAAGGTAATGATGAAATATCTTATGTTGAAATGTTGCCTGTCCCACAGAACGACAGCAATGAAAATAAGATTGCCGAATCTTATTCTTTTTCATTTCTGATAACATGTAAATATGTTTATTCTAAACGGTGATACTTTTATATCTTAAAAGCACATTATGCCTTAGAATCGACTTTTCTTTACTTCTTTAGAAAAGGCAAGCATTGGTTTTACAACATTTAAATAATTGTTTTAGAACATGTTTGATGCTTGTTATCTACACAAATGTAGCGCAAAATGTGAAAGTATTTGTCATAAAAGAAGCAAAATGTAAAAAGGTAGTGTTGTTAATCAATATTAATTAATCTAAAGCCCTTTAGAAAACATTCATGTGGTAACTTTGTTCCAAGCGTATTTCATTTTTATGACTTTCTTGAACAGCTTGCATTATTTATCAAATCTTTTTCAAATATTTTTTTGTTATTCCAGAAACAATATAAATCGGGACATGATTACCTGGTGTACATGATATGCCAACATCGTCATTGTGATAACAATCATGTGCTCCCCAATTATTATGCTGGCACTGATATAAGGTTGTTTCATTTCCCGTACATTTGACATCATCTAAATGTATAGGTAATGTTCCAGCTCCGAAGTATGCGGACCCGAACACCAAAGGATTCGTCCTAAAATGAATATGTTCCTGAACAAACAAACTCAGATATAATTGTCGATTTTGTTATGTCATACATTATTTCAGTCAACCAATTTAAAAAATAGCATAATGATAACATTTACTTTAAAAAATCAAACGAGAGGTCAGTTTCTATTGTTAACAATCGTTAATTGTGAATCCCTGTTGTAAACACCTCAAGAAAATGCCTTAAATAAAAACTTTTGAAATATTACTTTTGCTTGAGTGATTTATCAGTACTGAATTGTTTTATAGTTACTGGATTGTTTTATACTTACTGTTGATAATTTAGCATCATACAGACAACAGTTGCTGACAGTGTATCAAACTCATCATCGCATACTGTTCCCCAAGACCGACCATGCCATACTTCTAGTCTCCCTTCATATTCATTTGACCCGTTAACCAATCGAACTTCAAGAATAGCAACGATATCTTTGAACACTAATTTCAATGACCTACCTTGGCATATTAAAAACAGAGGAGTTTTGTCTTTCTCTTTTAAATACTGTTTCTTGTACAAAAATCCTTAAACTGCTAAATTGATTATGTAAAATATCTTTTTTTTTCAATCATTGTTATAACGTCTTAAGCAGTAGACTTAAAACATAGTTCATCTGTTATTGAAAGAGACTTTACAAAAAGGAACATTAACAGTATACCAACGTTTCTGGTGAAATAAATGGAGGAATATTTAAGAATTTGATATCGTTTTAATCAATAAATAGATAGTATTTGTATAAGTAGTGGCGATAGTACTAGTATCGTAGTAGCAGTAGTACTTGTAATGTTAGTGAGAATGACGGTTGATGGTGGTAGTCGTTGTTAAAGTGATAGTCGTAGCAGCCACATCGTGATGGTAGTAGTAGTGGAAGTAGTAGTCATGATAGTAGATGTGGTAGTGAAAGTTTTGAAACCACTTCTCAAAAAACACTGTGGCGCCCTTATGTATCGCAACGACGCTAAATATCGCAATTGCCGCTAAATGTCGCAACGTTATCTTTAAATGCCACAGCCTTCGATAAATATCGCAATATCTTATGTCGTTTAATGTCGTAATGGTGAATTTAATGGTGAAGGGAAATCATTATATAAATTAACGCAATCATTGCGACATTTAACGGCAAATGTTTTCTGCAATTTAGTTGCGGCTGTGACATTTGGTAACAACGGTGTGTCATTTGGCGACTAACACGACATCTTGCGACGTTGTAAAATATAACGGCGAATCAAAAAGCCTTTATAATAATAAAAGCAGAAAGCACTTAACGATGCCAGTAAAGGCATTCCAGGGCTTTTATTTATGTTAAATTCATCCTCCATATGCAATATTTATAATTAACTTTTTGGTCCATGATTTCCCACAAATGCGTTCAGTAAATAGGTAATAAAGTTTCCTTTTAAAAGGAAAGGCTTGCTCAGTTGTGCCATCATCCAAACCCTTTAGAAAATCTTTTTTGTTTCAATTTATTATCACATTTTTTTTTGAATTACGGTATTTGTATGTCATAAAGGGTTTATTTAGTTTTTTTTGTTAAAGAAAATAATCAATCGTAAAATTACTAACGTGGAGATCTATCTATCATACTGAATGGAAACAAGTGTGCACATTTCATTTCCACTTTTTTCGCAGAGAGAGTCATTCGTTTGGGCAGTTGCTAATTTCATTTATATAGCAGCTTTATAGACAAGTAAATGCACTAAAAAACTTCGTTACGCGGTACCAATTAATAAGCATGTATCAACTATGTTACACGATCACAGATACGATGCGCAATCTGTAGATCAGCACGTGGTAAGGTTAATTATATGCATGGCCTTTTTTTAGATTACCTCACCAAAACGTTGAATTGCGTTCAGTAAATCTAAATATAACTCGATCATGCACTAATATTCTGTGTGATCTTGTAAGCAGGACCACCCTTTAGAGACAGAATACTACTACAGTAACCTTTCTCTATTGTATAAAACTAATACAGACAAAAACCAATAATAAAAGAAACTAACTTTTGCGTCTTGAAAAAGAATTGAAACGGAGCAATTTCTTTTATAATTTATTTCTTCCTTTAAACCGAGAAATCAAGTAAAAATAGAAATCCTATTTATATAAACAAACTGGGATTACCAAAGTAACTAAAATAGCTTAGATTTCCGTATGATTCCGCAGTATGACGGAATCACCCGAATTGTCACGATTTCAATCGGAACTGCCTCGGCTATTATCATTAACCGGAAGAGTGACGGAAAGGGCCGAAAAGTTGCGATTGACACGATTGCAGCGGAAACATAGATTGGTTACCCGTTCAATCATGCACTAACAAATGTAAGCAGGAAACCACCTAACCGGAACAATTTCTCCAAAATAAATGGCCAAAAGTTTTCTTATGTTATGATCTTTCAGCATACAGGAACAATTATGCGGGAAGAGCTCTAAATAGCTTTGTTTTGTTTGCGACCGTTATTTATTGCGAGATTCAATCTTTGAATCATTCTAGCATTCCCCATATGTAATTAACCATCTTCTGAATATTTTAAGTATGCATTTACTTCTTCCAATAGAAATGTATCCGCAAAATTGTCCGAACCTATAGAAAATAGAAAAACATCTGGCGCCTTTAATTTGGTTAAATTACCATAAATCCGATTCTAGCCAATCTGGTGCACATAACTATTTTTAAATCAAGCGATTAGCCCATTCTGATGTATTGAATTCTTATTGAAAACTAGTGTTTGTTTCTTTATCAAGTCTGTATATCGTATGCTATTTAAATCTTCACTGAAAGTCTGATTTATTGAACAAAAATACTAACTTCATTCGCAAAATTCGTTCAAATAACAAATAAAATTAATAAAACTATGGTCGAAAATATGTACGGGATTTTCACTAGTTTCGATACAATTGCTAATTGTAAGTACATGAAATATTACCATTTTGTACAGTGAACTTTTACAATTATGACTAGTGAGCCATGGAATGATGTAAAATTTACCGGTAGATGACATATTGACCAAGGCGACAAAAAAACCCAGCCCCTGATTGACTGAAGCGCGGGTAAAAGACGCACGTGTCAGACGTTCGAGGACTATGTGAACGCTGCGCAAACAAAAGTAATTCAATAAAATGAGTAGTTCGATTAACTTTAGTAACTGTTACACCTTTTTATTCAAGCGCCATAACAAGGCCAAATATCATTCAACCGGAGAACCCATGTAATATGCGCAAGAACTTGAGCTACTAATCAATTATGTAATATTTCACTGAAATTGCTTTAATGGTATGAGACAAGTCCAAATAAAAACTAGAAGTTTTTTGTCACAAATTCATATGTCTCCTAAAACTATGTATGGTCACTCATGTAAACTAACTTTCATTGTAATCCCACCAGTAGTTTGACCTGTGAAGGCGGACAAGATTTTCCTATATTTAGCTCTGGCGGTCATAATGCGCAGCGAAGTGGAACGTGCCGGTAATGTGCACAACTAGGGATAGTACTGGTCACGCCCGTAAAGTTTGCTTGAAATCCCACCAGTAGTTTTACCTGTGAAGGCCGGACCAGATTGTTATAATTTTAGCCCTGGCAGCCATTTTGTGCAGCTAAGCAGAACGTGAAGGTATTGTGCACAACTAAGGATGGTACTGATAACTCCTGTGAGGTTTGGTTGAAATCCCATCAGTAGTTTGACCTGTGATGGCTGGACAAGATTGTTCTATTTTAAGCTCTGATAACCAATTTGTGCAGCGAAGCGGAACGTGCAGAAGATGTGCAAAACTGGGGATGGAACTGATTCCTCCTGTAAAGTTTGGTTGAAATCCCACCAGGAGTTTAACCTGTGAAAGCCGGACAAGATTGTTTTTATTTCAAGATGTGGCGGCCATTTTGTGCAGCGAAATGTAATGTGCTGTTGATGTGCACAACAAAGGCTGGTACTGATCACTCCTGTAAAGTTAAGTTGAAATCCTACCACTAGTTTGCCCTGTGAAGGTCGGACAAGATTTTCTATTTTTAGCTCTGGCGGCCATTTTGTGGAGCAAAATGGAGCGTGCCGGTATCGTGCTTAACTAGGAATAAAACTGATAACTTCTGAAAAGTTTGGTTGAAATCCAAAGAGTTGTTTGACCTGTGAAGGCCGGACAATCTAAATGCGGACGTAAGGAAAACCAGATAGACATACGGAGAGACGTTTTCATAGATAATTACAGTAATTATGTGGCTACTCTTTTGTTCTCTCTATTGTTCTTTTTAGCCACACAAAAGAAAATAGCCACATTAAAGCATTACGGAATTAATGACATTCAAGAGAAAGAACAGTTACCTATTGTCCCTCTAGCCACATAATTACTGTCATGTGAGTGCGGACGGACTGATAGACGGACAGACATGCGGCGAAGGGTAAAACAATATGTCTCCCAAATGTTTTGGGAGACATAATCATTACAGGGCCATAACTCAAATAATTAAAATGCCGAAATTATGCACAAATTGACTTGGTATTGATAATTTTACTGTAAAGTTTGGATGATATTGCACTTGTAGTTTTTGCGAAGTAGTCCGAACAAGCTCATGTGTAGCTGGCAAAACACAAAAAAACACCTTTTAATTGAAGGGCATAACTCGGTCAAAAATAACTCAACAGTAAAACCCGAGTAACATTTTGAGTGTGATGTTCCACTGTGTCAAACGAATCTTCGAGTGATAAAATTACAGAGAACGGTTTTACCTTCTCAATTGTTGGCCGCATAGCGGTTTACCTTTGTCTTATCTATTTACATCATTTATAAACAAATTATATTTTTTACATTTTTGTCAAGCTTCTGATGATTTCACAGCGTCAATGTCTTCGTCATTGACTTTGAGTCATACTCAAAACAAAACTAAACAACAACGCTTAAATTCACGTCAGCCGTCGATGATAATGTCTAAGCAGTCGTTTCTGGATACGGAGCTATTGGTTGCTTTCAACAACAAAATTAAATATATAAATGAAGCATCAACAATAAACTCACGGGAAATGACGTACGAATGATGTTATAAAGTTTTGTTGTTTCACAATCTTATTAAAACGATAAAATGCTCTAATAGCTCAAAATCTAAGGCTACTGCATTTTTAGCGTTCTCCCGTTGTTCTTAAATGATTGACCATTTGGAAGAATATTTAAATCATTGATCCATTTATAATAATTGTATATAATAAATATAATCGATAAAGTTTCAACATTAAACTAAAATATAATCAGGCAAAGATTACCCGGGGTACATGATATGCCAACATCTTCATTGTGGACACAATTATGTTTTCCCCAACCTCCATGTGAGCATTGAAGTAAGCTAGTTTCAGTTCCTCTACATTTTACATTGTCTAAATGTATTGGGGATGTACCTGCGCCAAAGTGTGCTTCCGCGAATACCAGAGGATTCGTCCTAAAATAACGATTTTTTTATTATACTCGAATTCAAACATGTTTTCTGTTTTAAGCATCTAAACACATAATGCCATTTCTTTGAAAGTAAGTTTGGATCGGCGATTAAAAAAAGAAAGAAAACGAAAATAAAGAAAGTAAGTAAGGAAAGGCTTCTATTTATTGACGCAAGGCATTTAGTTTCCAAATCTTACATGTGAGCCTCTATGAAAAAAAAGCAATTATCATAGAATTGGAAGCAATCCATATAGCAATTGGTCATTTAATTATACATTGAATGATGAAATGACATTAATTAATTTAAATCTCCCGAGTTCTTAGTTTGTTTGTATCATAGTAATGTGTAAAGTTTTATACCTTGTAAGGAAATTTAAACAATAGAAAATCAAAAGATCTAATTTTCTCAGGATATTTGAATATAACTTATTCTTCAAAGTTTCTCTATTTTAATCTAATTTGTTGGAAAAGTTCCCAAGTTCTTTAAAGGTGATCTCAGTCTTTTAGGAACGGACAGACAGACAGACAGACGGCATAAAGGACCCTCTAAAGTTATTTGTTTAAACATCCCTAGTTGTAACAAAAATTCAATATGTCTAAAAACAAAATTCATAAAGAGGAGATAACTCTTAAAATAAAGATACTAGACGTATGAACATTGTCATACATGACGTGAATGTGAAAAAGAACATTTATCCTAACTTTAAAGAAGATACCATTTGTAGCTACAAAGAAGAAAAATTAAAAAACTCAAATAAATTTCAAGTTCAAAATGAAATAAAAATGGAAATCCATGACTATATGAAAATCCCATGACTAATGAATCTCATCACATATAATGTAAGTGTTGATAATGAATATATATAATTTTGGATTTGAAGTAAATTCATGACGAAATAAGAAAGTTAAAGAATGATTCAGACAATTTCAAATTTTAATGTTTCTGGAAATATGGATGCTAGATTTACAACCCTTGTCGTAAAAATATGATGTTGGAATCTGAAGTAAATACAATAAGGAATAAAGAAATTTGAGTTAAGAATGCTAATTTCTAGACCAAAAATTCAATGGAAGACATAATTTTGGAAACAGTCAACCTAGAGAATTTTACCTTCTCACAAATGATTGGAATGATAAAAAGAAACAAATGAGGGGCTATCCAAAAAATTGTGGACTTTTAAAATATCTCTTGAACGTCAACCAACGTGTATTGTAATGACATTTAATTAGCATACTTTGTAGAAAATTATCAAAACATTTTGAAAGGAACAGTTAACTACGTCAATAAATAATTTTATATAGCTATTAAAAAGCACATACACGGCACCCAGGACACGGTAGAAAAGTGCAATTATTCACCGTATATTTTTGCTAAAGATATATCGTAGAAAACCCGCTAAACATCGTATGTTTCCTACATATAGTCATTTAAGTATTTTTTCATTGTGGGCGTCATTTCCGTAATATTTCGTTCATATCGATCGAAAGGGCAGACACCGATATTGTTTACAACGAGAATATGACGGACAGACAGAAAAAAGAAAATCGTGCGAACATAAAAGTTTGTTGTAATTTGGAATGACACATACTGCAATATTAAAAGAAATTCAGCAGGCAAACAAGGAAAATAAAAGTTCACGATCACTTTTTTTAAATCGGCACATGAGATTTGGTGATGGACGGCAAAACGGACAATACTTTGAGAAGCAATAACGGCCATGACTGCGTACGTTGAAGCACAATTTGAACGTTGACGTCAATAACTTTTTAGAGTGCGTCGTTTTCACCGACATGTGTTTATGTAAAATTAAATGCTGTTGTAATATAAAAGCTACTAGCATACATTTTCTGTGTTAATTGGTTATTAAATCTTCTCACAAATGTAAGAATTTCAAATCAATATATCAAATATATTCGATTATTACGTACCCGAAGCTCAAGCTCGTCCTACATTATGTCTGTGGGATTTTAGTCGAGCGAAGACGATACGACGTTGACGCCGTTATGAGCCAAAAAATGTGTCGTAACACAACCTGTGTGGGGCCTCGCATTGTAGAATCGATTATTCCCGCACCCCTATTCTTTAAAAATGAGAGGAGATTGCTCACAAGGATGTTCATCTACTGCATTAATATTGCCCGGAACGATGACCAAATATGTACTTTGACTGTCCATTATGCAAACTCAGACCATGTGGCTGCCAACACCAAAACTGCACACAACATTGGGCAAACCTCTCATTCCGTCGCCAGCTGGCCATGAACATAACACGTTGGTAAAGATCCCCTTATCTTTGGGCTGGGTCCAGGCCCCTGACACGAGCCCAAAAAAAGTTGGGGGTCTGTGATGCGCAAATTTAAATTTTCCTGTTAAGGCGAGCAACGAATTTGTGGCTATCTTTCTAAAAAGGGAAGCTATCGTCTGAGCCGAATCCCCCCGCATGCAGTTATTGCTTGGGAAAAAAGGTTACGTGAATTGCAGCAACGTCATTTACAACATGCCCGCTTTTAAGTATACTGATCCCATATCAGAAGCGTGGATGTTTATAAAAAAAATTTTACCCAATTTTTTTGTTTTTTTGTGTCAGTTTAAAAAAGTTCGGGTGACGGGGAAAAAAAATTTATTAAAATGACCTCGTATTGTCAAAACTTGAAAATGAAAGCGAAAACAAAAACTGTCGCCCTGACGGAAATTGACAAAATCGGGTAGGTACTCTACATATATAAATAAGTAATATCGATAACGTTAAAGTTAATCAAAGTTAACGCTCTAAAGTATGTCATGTAATAAGTTTTTTTGTTATAGTATAGATTAATTTGTGTTAATAAGTACTGAAATATTTCCTGCATTTTAAAATATGTTTACTGTTTTTTTGAGTTTGATTTAAGATAGCCACCATTTAATATGAGGTTTGTTTCGAAGTCATCAGTTTTCTCAGATAACACTTTTAGGTCAAGTCATTGTATTCTCGTTTAGGGCACCTGCATTCTTTTAATTTGGAACTATATTCCGCTTTTTATGGAATTGTACTAAGTTTAACGTGTTTTATTGATGGTTCCACGACACCCGCTGTATGAACACATTCTAAATTTCACGATGACCGTGTTTTAATATTTTGTTTTGCTTCAGCCGTTGCTAGGGGGCATGGAGGTAACTTGCACTTTCAAATGCCGTCCATGATTAAGTTCAATCAAATCAAAATTAAATGCAACATTTTCAGTTTTATCGTTTTGGGCGGTCTTTAGGGACTGCGTTTTCTCTATTTTAGTACCACATCAGTGTTATTTGTGTCTTGTGGGTCGTAAAAGGTCTCCCCGTACATATAATTAAAGATGTTATATCTTCGATCCTTGAAGATCATTCAGCATGGAATGACGGTTGTGCATACATGCTTGTTGTGTTCTAGTTCCTTACTTTGACATTTTTCTACTTTGGTGGTTCCAGTATTCAGTACTTGAAAACTATTTAATCACCCTTGGGATGTGTTGCCTTATTTTAAAATTTGCCTTTTGACATCTTATCTGTGATATGCAGGTGCCATAACCTAAGATCCCCACTCAAAAAACCTATTTGATTTAGTTCCGGTCATTGTTTGCTTGTTTAGGGCACACGTATCTTTTAAGTGGGGACCATATGCCGCTTTTCACGGCATGGCTATAAACGTTTCTCATTGAATATTCCATGATAACCGCAGTATGAACATTAACATTTCCGCAATATGGATTCCCTATAATATATAATCTAAATAACTATTTAGGATACAATTACAAAACCTTAAGCAATACTCACGTTGTTTCTAAACTACAATCAAAATCAATTGATAGGTTACAATCATATTTTTTTAAAAACAAAATATGGCTAACCAAACACGCCAGAAAGTTGTCAAAAGGACCATGGACACAAAAAAGATCCATTATTAAGATTTGTTCATGTGTCATTATATAGCCGTACAACTAGGTGCTGAAGGACAAAAGTGTTACAGGTCTTCGATAATTGTCCATCACATGGATCTGAGTTTGAGAAACAATTTTTATTTTACCATATTGGCACACTCTCTAGATTTAGTCAAATGCATCATGGGGACCATACACCGCTTTCTATGTTATGACACTTATTTGAAACTTTAAAGGTGACATAATAAGTGTCATTTGAACACATCTGCGGATGTTTCAAAATCCAAAATTGAACCTTATTGTACGATGCAAAAAATGCATATGCCCTCACAAGAAAGCAACGGGTGAAAAAAACCTAATAAACTAATATATACCCCTACTTGGTAACAGGTTATGAAGTAAAGTCACAATAGTTTGGCGTTTTACAAAACAAATGTTCAAATTTTATCTGTTCCTTTGACAGTTTATTTGGATAAAATCCAAGGTCGAGGTGAAGATCAAATGTCAAAAATGCCTTATTAAACAGGCCATCTTGATTATTGTTTCCTTTTTTCCAGTACAAAAGTAAAATATGACAGTTAAATGTTTTTAATCTTTTTTCTCTTTTTCAAGGAAAATATAACGTAAACATTTCTACAGCCCGGGTGCAAACAAAATTTGCCACCGGCAGCTCTCTCTATTTTTCACAATATTGGATAGTAGGATTAAAGCAAAATAGAAAATGGGGCAAAATTCAGATTTTGATTGCCTGGCATCTATCAATGTTTTAAGTCCAATAGAATTTTAAGTACTCTTTGAATTATCACAATTATTGTTATTTTGCTATATGTAATATTTATTGTCATAGCAGCCAATGTTTGCATCATAGGAAGAAAAGAGAAAGATGTGCATAATTTACAGATTGACATCTACCTACATTTTTATAAATATATTTTCAGTACATTTTGCATTATCACGGGGTCGAGTTTGTGATTTTTATTTGAAATATTAACAGTCTATTTGGTGTCTATTTTTCAACATAACACCACAAAAAGAAGTGTAATCTCCAGACTTTATTTGTATTTTCATAAAAAATGTTTTCCGTACTTTTTGTATTATCACGAAATTCAGTTTGTGTGTTTAATTTGCCATTTTAAGTCAATTTGTTGTCATAGCAACCAAATGTTTTAACATAGGAAGAAAAAAAACACAATGTTTAAATATTTTCTATTACCGCGTTATCACGGGATCCAGTTTTGTTTTGTTTAGGAATAGACGGACAAAGAAAAAAGACATTAACCACTATTTACAAATGCTCCTCTGTCTGCGTGTAAACTGAATAACTAATTATGCTATCTTAAACGTTTTTGGAGTCATTTTATAAAAACAATACTAAACAGATAAAAATAATAACGGCAATTAATTCAAAGGAGGCATCATTTTACCTATGACACTCACAATGGCAGTAATATTAACAAGCAGATGCCTTTTAAATCCCCTTCCACAAAGCGCGGAGGGAAATATAGAAGTGGCCTTCGTCAGTCAGTCCGTCCGTAGTCTGTCCGTCCGTAACACTTTCGTGACCGCTCCTAAACTAAACGCTGATTTTTTTGGATAAAACTAAGCATAAGTGATCACCTTTATGAGACGATGTGAAGAGCGTAATAATTGGATTACAACCCCAAAGGTCAAGGTCACGCTTATAGGTCAAGTGTTAAAAAGTCTACTTTTCGTGACCGCTCCATAACATTTAAACATCTGCAATGCTTTTTAGATAACTTAGCAGAAATGATCACCACTATGTCATCATGTGCAGAGCACAGCAATCAAATCACTACCCTCAAGGTCCCTCTCAAATATACAATGTTAAAACATCTGTTTTTTCCGCTCTAGAACTTTAAACTGCTGAAAAAATTGAAATAACTTGGCACTATTATGAGAAGATGTACAGAACTTAATAATCGGGTTGCTACCCCAAGGTTAAAAGGTCAAGAGTAAAAAAGTCTACATTTCGTGCCGCTGATTTCTTTAAATAAATTGGCACAAGTGATCACCATTATGAGACGATTTGCAGAGGGCAATAATTGGGTTGCTACTACCAGTTTTAAAAAGTCTACATTTAGTGCCAGCTCCATAACATTTATGCCGCTGCAATGTTTTAAAGATAACTTGGAAGAAATGTTCAATCAGCATTATGAGTTGATGTGCAGAACCCAACGTCTCGGTTGCTAACCACAAGTTCAATATTAAATATTCCTCATAACCTTTTGAATTTATGGAAGATTATTAATAATTTGGCACAAATAATATACTATTTTCTTATTATATGCATGACACAACATGAAGGTCATGGTTGGTAATAACGCAAGAAGTACACGTTCATGTCCACTGCAGAAGGGGATTTTGCTGTCAATTAGACTGCCTTGTTAACGACAGATTTTGCAAAGCAATTGTTCTGTTCCTTTCAAATATAGGTTATTTAAATTTATGTAAAATTATGTTAAAACTTAAATTATGATATTTGTCAATTCATTTACAAGCCGCAGTAAGATTTGACGCCATCTTTGCTTGCTTAGCACTATATCAATAAAAACAAATCTTTGCATTATCATAAACTACAAGCGATACTAAATATTTTGATATATTACCACCTTAGTTTTATTTTGTGACCATGTTATATCCATTTAAGACCTGACTGTACCCTAATATTTTATGTTGTTTTTGCTTTTTTTCATCCATGTCGTTAAACATATTTTAAACTTGAAGTACAGAAGAAAAATATTTTATTCAACTACGGCACTCAGAATCTTGAACGGCACAGCGGTAGCTGCGTAAAATAATTTTACATAACATCTGACTATTAAGCTTTTATAATGGTAATCTGAATTTGCCATGATCAGCTAGTTAAAATATAATATGTAGTGTGAAGTTAATACTTTTTTAACAAAATTTGTGACTGAAAAAAGTTTTCAAGAGAAAACTCCATGGACACGTGTCGGCATGACTTCAATAAGGGTATTTTATTCGTCACGAACAGATTTAATGTAAATGTTGTGTTCTCAGGGTTCACTCTTTTCCAGATTTCCAGATTTCCAGAATAATGATTTTTTAATGTCTCATAAAATGGAATTTGTATGATTTTTTGTACAGAATCATTTTTAGTGAAATTAATAAATTAAATATTATATACGTATGTTAGAATAAGTAAACATAGCTTTTTCTTACCTAGGATAATGAAGCATTTTACAAACAACAGTTGCTGACAGCACTTGAAACTGATCATCGCAAACTGTTCCCCAAGATCCATTATGCCATACTTCCAGTCTCCCTTCATATTGATGCGACCCGTTAACTAGTCGAACTTCAAGACAATAATAACACACTTTTAAAAACAATCATTTTATTGTTTTGTTTATTTTCAAAAAGAATAATATATTTCTTTAGTTATTTTTAAATACCTTTTCAAGAGGATCATGATCAGATTTCTTATTTTTACCTCTTGATAAGGACAATAATTCAAAATATATCTGAGCACAAGTTGCCCGTCACTGCAACAAAACAAAGAAGACCACTACAGGTATGTTCCTTCCAAAACATGAAAAACATCAGTCAAAGAAAAAAGGTGTGTTTTTTCAGTATGTAAGCCATTATTAAGTAATGTAAAACATATTAATTTTAAAACCAACTAGGGTTGCATCACTCTAGCTTTTAGACAATGCACTTCCTTTTTTCAGTCTCTATCGCGATGATATTCGTCTAAAAGATCTTAACTTTTCAAGATATTCTCCGGCATGTCATCTTACTAGACTCTGAAACTATGTGTAGTGTCAATAACATATTACTGTTCCATTGATGTATGTATGGCTGTATCTCATTATTTAACACATAAATTATAACATAAAAGGAGATAATCCAATTATCAAGAAAGGTAGTATCATTGTCTGAAATGTTAATTAGACTTTATTGCTGGTTTAGAAGGTTTACAGTTTTTCTACATATAAACCAGTGAAATTGTTCACTAAAATCGATGGTTTGTGTGATCTCCTTTATCTTAAAAATACGATTGAATGAATAAAGCTCACTAATCATTGTATGTTGGCACGGACAGATATTTACAGACAGACGGACGGATGGAAAATGTGTCGACTTTGGGCTCTCCCTTCAAACAATATTGAACACAACACTAGTTTGAATATAACTCATATCAATATGATATGTTGGAAGTTTCATTTTTTAAGGTGTAGAACAACCAAATACAACCAATGAAACTTAAATTGTGTAATCTCATTATAGAACGGTACCGACAAATAAATTCCATTCTGCCAATATTATTTATTTCAGCTATTGAGGTCAAATCCATAACATTAACAATTATTTATATATTAATTTATGGTGGTTGAACTGTAAGATAACATCTTACGAACAAGATGCCTTTTATACTAAAAATTAAAATTAATTAAAATGTCATGAATTTTGCTTACGCTAGACAATCCCTTTTACTCAATATTTTAGGTATTAATATATTTTCTAGAAAAATACCGAATTATAACAGAAGAGTATACAGCTTAAAAACTTTTCCAAGCAGCAGCTGGTACAAGTCTGATAGAATCGGTATAGTACTCAACAATTTCTAATATTAAACCGTTTAAAAAGAGTAAAAGTATTAAATTAAAGAAAAAAATCAAAATCAAGTATCTTTTCCCTATTTTATTAAAATTAATTTGAGTACTTACGAATTTGATGTTAAACAATTTGACTTGCAATATGATAATGGGGTAACGTTTAGTACAATTTGTTTTGATAATGATTTTCTTTGACTCAGAAAATAGAAATGAGATTGAGAACAGTATGCATGTGACACAAATGTATTGGAATTTTGGACTCGATAAATGAAGAACACGAGTTTAAACTGAAAATATTTGATCCAAAATAATTCGTTTTGGAACATCACGTGGTACAAATGTTGGAAGTTCATTTGCTACATTTTATAAGGTGTAAACAATACAAATGAGTATACAAATGATACTACACAGTCAATATAACCAGCAAATTTTGCAAATGCCCCCAGAAAGAAGATTACATGGCAGAATCTACAAAAACATAATAACATGTTTATCACACATATAACACAATTGAAAAAAAAGAAGATCTTCACGAATGACGATATTGCCTGCAATTTTCAAACATATTTCTTTTTCTAATCCTTTTTATTTTTTTCTAATTTTTCTAGTCGAAAAGTATTAGAAAATGTTTGCCGTTATCTATTTTGCTAAGCAGTTATAACTTCTTTGATATATATCCCAATATTGTTTTATCTTGATTCCTTATTATCATGTTTTTTCTGAATAACTTGCACTGTTGCCTATCAATCACAAAAAAATAACTTATGTGTTTCAGAAAATTTTGAATAAAGCAAGATTACCTGGTGTACATGATATACCCACATCGTCATTGTGATTGCAGACATGTGTTCTCAAACCATTATGGCGACATTGAAATAAACTTGTTTCAGTTCCTGCACATTTAAAATCGTCGAAAAATATTGGTAATGCTCCAGTTCCGAAGTACGAAGACTCGAATACCAAAGGATGCGACCTGAAATTATTTTGTTTCTTATGAAAACCACTCAGATATATAATCACTGTCTACATTTTATGCGTTTATGCAACTGATTAAATCAATCGGTTGAATTAAAACGTGCTTGTCGTTTACAATGAACACATTTCTTTTGGAAATCAAACAGGAGGTCAATTTTTATCAATTAATTGTAAATTGTTTTATATATTTTGTTGGCTTTAATCAATTTTCTTTGTAACTTACTGCTGAAAGTGAAGCATCCTACAAACAACACTTGCTGATAGCGTGTCAAATCCATCATCGCATACTGTTTCCCAAGACCCATCATGCCATACTTCTAGTCTCCCTTCATATTGATTTGACCCGTTAACCAATCGAACTTAAATATCAGCACATTTTTAAAGATTATTTAATATATTTTATATTTCTGCAAATCATTAAATGTTATAGTATGATTCGTTCTGTGTTTCTTTTTCTTTTATACTAAAACTAAGACAAAATAACTAAAATCTAAGTCTTATTTCAATCTGCATATTATTAATCTTTTGTATTAAGTCTATATCTAACAATACAGTACACTTAGAATCTTTTTAAATCTCCCTTATGGTACATAAAATGTATTTAATATTTTAATGGTAATAATACAAAAATTAAATTTTCAAACACCTTTATTTACTTCTTTCATGAAATTATATTCATGAACGTTATTTTCGGGAAGTAGATTAAACTATATAATACAGAGGTAGACATTTAAAAACATGTTTTTGTTTTCTATACGTTTATTATCCTTTGAAAATTTTAAGTTCTTGGGATTTTTTAAAGGCCTGATAAGTTGAAATCTTATTCTTTAAAACTTTTGCACGTTTTCTGAAATAAACAACAGATTAATCATGTATTTCAAAAAAATTCAATCACGCAATTATACCTGGTGTACATGAAATGCCAACATCGTTATTGTGTTCACAATCATGTTTTCCCCAGCCTTTATGTTGACATTGAGATAAGATTGGTTCAGTTCCTGTACATTTGACATCGTCTAAATGTATAGGTAATGTTCCAGTGCCAAAGTATGCGGACCCGAACACCAAATGATTTGTCCTAAAATAGATTTGTTTCTAAATTAGGAGCTTGTACGTTAACAAACGTTTGGAAATAAAAAAAAATCGTCGAACTTTCTTTAAGTCGAAAAGGCCTAATAGTACCATGAAATAAATATACTAACACAATGTTATTTATAGAAATTCTTCTCATTTACTATGTTTCAATTGCCGTATGCACCCTTTTAAAATAAAGCTCCTGCTTTTCTATTTTTTATATGAAGCTCATGAAATTCTTTAGTTTGACATATCCGTTGCAATTGATACTGCGAAAATAATTTTATTCACAATCTTGAGTAAATTGTGAGGTAAGTGATAGCGATTCGCATAATTCAGAATGATTTGAATAAGATTATTGTTTATAAAGAAAAATTGAAGTTTACAAAATAATATGACATGCCCTAGTGGATGGCCACTTAATAATTGAATTCTTTTCAATTGGGGTTTGGTCAATTTCGACCCAATACCCGTAACTAAAAATTCACGTTCAGAAAAGCTTTTTTGATGAACTATGAGATATGAGTAACATTAGTTTTGGTAAAATGTGTTTCTGAAGACTTCTAGATTCGGGCAAGTTGCAGACCGTCGACATTGTGTTCATAAGGAACTGTCTAATATTCTTATTGGATTTGAGCAGAAGGAAGCAAGCTATATAGAGATGTCAATTTAGATAGTCAGAGTTGTAACATATTCTCTCGTATTTCTATATTTATGTAGAATTTCTGAAACCAATATCCTTTCTTAAATGATAAAAATTAACCCAAATTTTGATTTTTTATTTTAAATTCTGTAATTTGATGGTTTTTTCCAAAAGAGGGTAAATGCCATTGACATGAAAATATTGAAAAAATGTGCCCTTTTTAATTTTATAAATATTTTTTAACTGGAAAAATAATCGTAAAAAGTTTTTTGGGCTTGAAAAGTAGAAACTTTTTTCCGCTGATCTCCTTTCCCTCTAACTCACTCAATGGTTTTTCCTCTCCAAAACAAAAAGCAGGCTTTTAGAGCGCCCCTTTTAAATCTCAAATTTTAGATGGGAAAATTCCCGGAGGGCCTTTTTTCTTATAATTAGATATAAAATAGGGCACCTTTTTTTTTAAACGGGGGGTTTGTAGGTGGGGTTTAAAATTGACTGCTAAAGAATGTATAAATTTTGTTCTATTCAGGTTTTATTTTTTTGCACCGTGCTTAAACAAATATTTTGTTTTTAAAGAAAAATTTTGGGTTTAAAAAATATATAAAAGTATGCAAAAATTTACAATAACCGCAAATGGGAAAATTTTTAAAACCCTAAACCCAAACCCAGTAAGACTTAAAATTGTTTTAAAAGTAAATTGTTTTTAAACCATTAAATAAAGAAACCCCTTTAAGTGTTACTTACCCGACGCCCAAAACCTTTTCTTATGTTGAAAAAGCAGGGTCAATATTTAGTAAAAAAGCCCTTTAAAAATTTTTTGACACCGTGGTTTCAAAATTTAAAACCAAAGGCCCGGCTAAATAATTTGAGTCAAAAATACACGCGAAATTTTTTAAAGTTACAAAAAGAAATACTTTTGTGTATTACGTAAAAAGGGGGTTTGGGTCTAAATTTTTTTGGATAAAATATTCATTGAAAAAAAGGAAAAGAGCCGGCCATCCCGGGGGGTTTTGCTCCAAATTGGTTTTGGATACGAAAAATACTTTCGTTGCTTTGGTTTAGTTAGGGGATTTTTTACGGGTTTTTTTTAAACCTTGCTTTTTTTTAAAAAAAGAGGAAAACTTTAAATGTTTTTTTAAAAAAGGGACTTGGCATACATTGTTCTTTTCCCAAACTAAACAAAAAAACTTTTAAACGATCTTTTTATACTTTACTTTAGAAATAGAAAAAAAAAGGGTTAAGCAAAATTTAAGTAATATACAAAAATTATTAAAGGGTACTAAAAAAATTTAAACAAAATCATGTGCGTCGTATTGAAAAGTTTCCATAATTGTCCAATAAAAATTTTATCTATTTTAGATATTTTTTAAAAAAATATGAAAAAATTATTATATCCTTTGCTTCCCCAGGTGGCGGCATTTGTTAACAAAATGGTGACTACAGTGCCGCTCAGACTCAAAACCCTGTTGGTTCTTTTTGAACAAACCAAATCAGAAATGTATATAATCCCGATTTTTTTCAAAAATTTGGTTTCTTCATTTAGAAATCTAAATTTTTAAAAGGGTGTTTATAAAAAAAATGAATTTTTTTTCTTTTTTTTTTGGAAAATAAAACATTTTATTTTTTTCTTTCTTTTTAAATTTTAAAGTGTATTTAAGTTAATCTCTTTTTTAAATCATTAGAAAATTTTTTGTTAAAACCATTTTTGGGAAAAAATTTGGGAAAAAGGGTTAATAATTTAAATTTTGTTACTTACTGTTCAAATTTTAGCATCCTCAAACAAAACTTCCCCTAAAACCGATAAAAACCCACCCGTAAAACCTTTCCCCCAAGCCCCCCCATCCCATACTTCTAGTCCCCCTTCTTTAATTTTTTTTTTTTGGGGCCCCCCCCTTTAAAAACCAAAAATGGAAAATTTTAAAAAAAACCCAACCCCAATTTTTTTTTTTTTTTTTAAAAAAACAACGATTATTGATGAAAATCTTGGGAAAGAGCATTTAACCCGGTTTTAAAATTAAAAAAAATTTGAACCCCTTTCCTTGGGGCAAAAAAAACCCAATTTTAAAAATTTAAAACCCCAAAGTAAAAAATAAAAAATTTATTTAAAGCCCCCTTAAACTCTTTATTTTTTTAAAAAAACCAATGTTTAAAAAGGGTTTAAAAAGCCATTTTTTAAGGAATCGATCCACCGGGGTTTTTTTATAAAAACGTGTGGAGTTAGGTTTTTAAGATAAATTTTTGCATTTTGTTTTTTACCCGTTGGTATTTTTTGTTCAAATTAAAAATGCAAAAAATTTTTAAAACCCAAAAATTGTAAAGGAATATTATATATTTTGCTTTAAAAATTTTTTTTTGGAATCATGGATTAAGATTTGAAAAGGATATTTTAAATAAAATGGATAGTTGTTAGATTTAAATTTTTGGCCTTTTAAAAAACATGTGAAAATTTTTTTTACGTTTTCATGGGGTTTGAAACTGGCAAAAAAAATTGTTTAAAAAAACCAAAAATTTAATAGTCCGTTTAAATTGATAAAAGGGATTTTTTTAGAAACCCTATAATAATTTGTTACATCAATGAGATTTTTCCAAAAATATAATATGTTTAAAAAACCCATTGGTAAAACTACAAAAGGTTTTGGAGGAAAAACCATTTTTTAAATTTTCAAACTTTTCATATAATATTTATACATATTTTATAAAAAAAATAAAATTTTATTTTCTTTTACCCCCAATGCATGAAGAAAAATTACTAGAAAAACCTTTCGATTATTAAGCCTTTTAAGTACTTTAGCATGTAAACATTTAATAAAATTTGGGAGTTGAAAATAAAAAAAAATTTATTTCCAAAAAAAAATGACCATTGGTTCCCGACTGTTTTCCGGGGCCTTGAAATTTTTGGGTCGAAAACCAAAGTAAAATATTTTACGGGAATAAAGTTTTTTAAAAATGACCAAACCCAAGTTCATAAATTTGCATTTCTCTTCCCTTTAATTGAATCAAGGCTTTTAAAAAAGAAAATTTTGAGAAAGCTATTTTGCAAAAATTAGAAAAAAAGGGTCTGTAAATTTGATTTCATTTTTGTTTTCATTTTTTCCTTAATTTCAGCCTATAATTCATACATTTTTGGGTTTTTAATTTTACAAAAAAATTTTACGCACTAGCTTTTTTAGTTTTAAAAATTTTTAAAAAAAGTTTGGTTTTTGTTTGAAAAATAAGAAACCCCAAAAAACTACTTTTACTTTAATTTTTAAATTGCCCCTTTTGTGAATGTAAGAAAAAACATCTACATTTATTTTTGGGAACGCAGAAAAATTCCCAGAAAATAAAAAAAAAATATACAAAATTTAAAAAACTTTTTTTTAAATTTAAAATAAAATTTTTTTAGGGGTTTGGTTTTAATCAAATTTTATAGTTTAAAAATTTTTTAGTTTTTTTGAAATTTGCCCAAAAATTTTTGCCCTTACTCATACAGGTTTTTAAAAAAGAAATTTTTGAAATAACTTGGAATATTTATAAAAATACAAATTTGACAAACGAAAACAATAGACTGGCCATTGCTAAATCTGTTATTATATAACTTGTATAACTTCATAACTATTAGATAATACCACTAATATAAAAAACAACTTCAACTTATACATGATTTTTTCAGATGTTTTTTGTTGTTGCTTATTTATGTTATTTATTTCTATAAATGAAATAAATGACATAAATGCCAATCTTATTAATTACATTTATATGTGTTAACTGTTAACCGTTATGCAATGTGATACAATTACATTAACTGATATGTATGTGTATGATATATTATTTGATTGATATTATAGAACCGACTATACAATACATGTAAGGTATGATGGAGATGCCCTGATCCCTTCAGACGAATAACCCAGTAGAAGCCTTAAAAAGATTTACACTGATATTCAAGGTTGTATTAACACATATTTAATATTCTAAAAATATAATAACGAATTAAGATTGTACAACATAAAAATATTAAAATATATTAAATAATTATTTACTCTTACTTGGCTTTCAGAACAAAAGTAAACAACAATAACGGAATTCAAATTACTAAATCAAAAATTATGCCTAATATTATCATTATTACTTTTGGTAATAATAGACATAAAATAAATACAAAAGCCTCCTAAAAGAAGATTTTTTGAGAAATGACCACCAAGAAACTGTTTGAAACAGAACACAAATTATTTAAAATTTTAAATGATTCACAGTGGACAATAACTCTTCAAATAGATGGTGGTTTAGAGGCTTGACCTTTTTCCTGATTGCAAAGAGTTTTGTAGGTGGTAGCAAAATATAATTTGAGAAAATTAGAAGAAAAACATGATGGCAAAGTTTGATAACTTACAAGGATCAGGAATTTACATATAAGGTTAAACTAATGATTGAACGTACGGACGGGAAACATTACAACCAAACTGCACACTTGTACTCTACAGTTGTTTGTGCAAAATGAACTTCATAATGTCATATACGAACAGACAAACTTTCGTGAATTTGGTCGAAGGTGCCAACAGTATGGGTTTATCGGCTTATTATCTGATCTTTATGCGATATTTGTCACGTAATCCAGTTAAACTTCTCACATAAGCCGTGGTTTATTTGGTCTCCTTCTCTCTTTTTTTTGTCCAAGATTATGAACGAAATTAAGCACATTCGCCATTCAAAGTAGGTCCAAACAGACTATTCATTACTAGCAATGTATTTCAGAAACAGTTTTTATGAAGCAAAGATTACCTGGTGTACATGACATGCCAACAACCTCTTTGTGACTACAATTATGTGCTCCCAAGACATTATGTGGACATTGAGATAATCTTATTTCAGATCCCGTACAGCTAACATCGTTTAAGTGTATTGGTAGTGTTCCTGAGCCATAGTATAAGGATCCAAATAGCAGTGGATTGGTGCTTAAATAGTTATGTTTATTATCAAACATCTATTTTAATATGTGATTGACTAAATTATCTTATCTCTTGCATTACAAATTATTTGCCCTAGAAAATGGATTCTTTTTTCCGATCATCGATATATTTAATTTCGTGCATTTGAACGTGTTTGTCGAATAATATAAATACATTCTTTTTCTTTAGAATCAAACGTTAATACATTTTGATCTCTTAAATTTGTATTTGTCTGTTAAAAATATGTTTAAAAACTTGCTTGACTTTAATAATGAAAAAAAGTGACGCCATAAAAATCATGCAAAGGGCATTTATAGACATGTGACTACTTATTATGTTTAAACAGAACATGAATTTTACAAAAAAAAATTTAAGAAATTAGGAGTATTAACCAATATATCTCTGTATCGCCAATACGTTTTGCATTGGATCAAAGACAGCTTTAATTGTGTGTTACTTACTGTTGATAATTTAGCATCCTACAAACAACAGTCGTTGACAACACATCAAATTCATCATCGCACACTGTTCCCCAAGACCTGTCATGCCATACTTCCAGTCTCCCTTCATACTGATTTGATCCGTTCACCAAACGAACTTCAAATATATTATCGACATTACAAAACAGCTTTTTGTATTTCATATTATCGCGTATGGTCGAACGGAGTCATGGTCACGTTATATCACAATTTTCTGTAAGACCGTAAAAGTATAAGTTTTCGACTCCTAATATTAATATTTAATTAATATAGATAAACGTATTTGAACACAAAATAATTCATTTAAAAAGTGATTTTAGCAAACAAGATTTATTTTATGTTTTGTCATTCATTTGCCTGTATAATTAACAAGCAGACATACAACAAAATTATTTTTTCAAGTTCAATTTTAACTGTAAATTTGTCGTTTTGAATTTTATATTGTCAAGTTGCAGCCCTTACCTATTGTATATTTCTATTTTTAATTTAAACAGGTTAAGACTACAGTTTAATTTTCTAACTTGACCTAGGACAAGATGCAGTAACACTGCGCACGAGTTAAAGTCCAAAACATGAAAAAATAATTAAATCAAGGGGTGATCTATTTCCGTGACATTCTCAATCGCCATAATATTTTGGCGCAAAACTAAATTATGATCATGTAAGGGTAGCTAAATTAGATGCATGTCACATATGTAATATATGTTTAAAAAAAGTGCATAAAGTTATCATGGTGCTACATTAATAATCGACCCTATCGCCGTTTCATTCTATAAGTATCCTCACTAAGAAATATAGCTAAACCGATAGTCTTTTAAGCATCTGGTTACATCAATTTTGATAAAAAGGGGATATAATAGTGATGGTGTCGATAACTTTTTTTTTATAAAAGTCTTGATTTTTTACAATCAGCAACTCATTTATACCCATGCTCCCTTCGCAGTTCAGTGAATAAACTCACGTTACTTCACCTGCTGCTTGAACGAGTGTGAATCTATGATAATGACCTTTACAGGGAATTTTGAACAACCAATGAAAATTTACCAAATTCCAATTCACCCGAAAACTCATTTACATTAGTTGAAACAGATCAAAAGTTATAAATAGAGTGCATTTCCTCGCCAGTTTGTAAACAAAATAAAGTCTCTAGCCAGAGATCTCTGTTGAAGTTTGTTTTTCGTTCAACCATTGAAGAAAGTAAGGATATATTTGAGCCGTGCCATGACAAAACCAACATAATTGGTTGCGACCAGCATGGATCCAGACCAGCCTGCGCATCCGCGCAGTCTGATCAGGATCTTTGCTGTTCGCTTTCGGGTTCTCTACTTGTAACAGAGTTGGTAAGCGAACAGCATGGATCCTGATCAGACTGCGCGGATGCGCAGGCTTGTCTGGATCCATGCTGGTCGCAAACCCATTATGATGGTTTTGTCGTGACGCGGCTCATTTATTGTTCTAAACAGGGTCATTAAAGTAACTGTGTTTTCAAGAAATACCGCATCTTCATTAAAACTTCTCTGTCATTGCAATTATGAAAGATACCAGTATCCGCGATCTAGATCTACATAAAAAAAAACATGGACATTTAAAAAGGAAATTTTTATATGACTATACTGATTCAGACAAGTCTAGACCATGTTTGTGGTAGATTCTGTTCACAGAATTGAAATTGCACTTTGTTTGACGAAGTACACTATACGAGTGTGCACTGCAGGTGTCAACACAATTCTGGCAATTATTATATGGATTTTGATTAAATATGTTTGAGCATTTGAATTTGTGATGTATTAGTAGAGTGCATTAATTATTTCTTTCTTAAGGAGAAGTAACTTAGTTTTACATTTCAAAAGATTGGCTGTTTATATTGTGATTGAACAATAATTGATTATCAGTTTATCACAAAGGATATAAAAATACAAATACAAAAAACTGCCTAAATATAAAAAGACTGCCCCATTCCTTTTTATAAAATGAGAGTTAATGAAGGATATTTACAAATATCTTTGTGGTTTCCATGATTTATACATTACTCAGTTGACATTTATTATAAAATTGAAAACAAAATGGACAAAATGTAAGTTGATTTTAATTATACCTGAACACTGGCCATTTACTCTCGTAGGGGCATAATGTCACCTAAATTATCACAGAATCATGACAAACTAGAACTGCCACCGTCACAGCGTATTACTTTGTCAGAATCAACAGTGGTAGAATTCAAGGACAACCTCCCTGCCAAATCTGAGGGAAGTACGCCAGTGCATTGCTAAGGTATGTATTCTATATGTTTTTAGTGGCAAAGACCAAAGTGACATTTACCTTTAACCTACTGACCTCAAAACTTAAACTGCCATTGCATTTGAATACCCCTCCCCTCATTCATGCAGCTTTGCCTTGGGTGTTTTATGATGAATATAAGTGAACATAATTATATACTTAAAATGTGAAAATGTCAAAATCAAAACACTGCGGACAGGTTTTCTTAAGCATTTGAGCAGACAAGCTTATTGAAGTAAAAATCCATGTGACCTTGACCTTTGACACAGTCACCTAAAAATCAAAAGGGGTCATCTACTAGTCATAACCAACCCCATTAACCAAAATGAAGACTGTTGACCAAAGCATATTTAAGCAATAAAGAGGACAAGCTTTTGAACTAAAAGCCCCTGTGACCTTGACCTTTGACCCGATGACCTCAAAATCAATAGGGGTCACTTTATGTTCATGACTAAACTAGATGCCAAATATGAAGACTTAGGGTCAAAGGATTCTTAATTTATTGGGCGGAAAAGCCTGGTGACCTCATAATCAAGAGGGCTAACTTAACACTTTACTTCATATAGACGTGTTTTCTTTGAAATCAATTTCGATGGAAAAAAAACAACGCAAAATAGTTTTTTGGCAATTTTGAGATGTCCCCTTGTTGCCATGGTAACAGAAAATTTAAGACTGAGCATGTCGTTACAAAGGCAATGGTCCAGTTAACATTTGTGCCAGGTTTGATTAGTATTGAAGCAGTTTTCATAGTTTCATAGTAGTTTGAACTTGTAACAGGGGGCTTTTCAATGAAAACGGTTATTTTTCACAATATGCTCATGAAGGAAGGGTTATATGCAGGCTTCATAACCTCTGATCCCCTTTCAAAATTCCATTTTATTTAGTTCCGCCCATTGTTTTCTCGTTTAGGGCAAAAGCATTTTTTTTTAATTGGGGACCATATGCCGCTTTTCATGGAATGACATCAACGTGTCACATTGAAGGTTCCATGATAACCGCCATATGAACACATCTGCGGATGTTTCTAAATTCAAAATTTTACTATTTCATGTTTAAATGTTGAATTCTGCTTAAGCCGGTGCTTGGGGGCGTGGACGGTAACTTGCACTTTCCAGTACCGTCCATGAACAGGCTCAATCAAACCGAGCCTGCAACATTTTCAATTTTGCCGTGTTGGGCTTTCTTTAGGGATTTTGTATTTATCTATTTTATTTAATAAAAAAATTCAAAATGCTACAAAACAACAATTTTTCACCAAAATTAGGTGAAAGGCCACATTTTAACACGGAAAACTAGATTTTGGGTAATTCCAGCGTTTTTCATCAATTTTTGTTTATAAAAATAAAAATGCTACAAAACAACAATTTTTCACCAGAATAAGGTGAAAAGCCACTTGATAACATGAAAAACTAGATTTTGGATAATTCCAAGTTTTTTTTCCATCATTTTTTGTGTACCCTTTACTTCATATAGACGTGTTTTGACAGCTTTTCGACCCCCCTCAAAAAGTGAAAATTACCCTATTAAGGCCCAAAACACTGTTTTTTGTTTCGGAAATGTTGCTAAAAAGTGATCACTTTTTCGGCGCCGCCCCTATCAAAAAGGTACATCAGGGGTTGCCAGAAGGGGGATGTGCTCCCTTCTGTTTGGGCCAAGAAAATTTTGGACTTGCGAGAGGCTAAAAATGACCACAGGTCAATTATAAGGTAATGTGTAACCAACGCTGAAAAGCCCTTGACTCTATCTCGATCCATTGAGAAGTATTGAATCAGTTTTATAGTTTGATAGCAGTTTCAACTTGTCACAGGACGCTTTTTAATAAAAAACGGCCATTTTTCACAATATGCTCATGAGGGAAAGGATAAATGGTCATGACTAACCTTAATGCCAAATAGGCGGACTGTGGGCCAAAGGATTCTAATGTTATTGGGCGGACAATCTTTATGAAGTCAAGGCTCCTGTGACCTTCGCCTTCAAGCCAGTGATATCAAAATCAATACGGGTCATCTCATGGTCATTACTAACCTGTACATGAAAATATGAAGGCTGTTAGTCAAAGGAATCTGAAGTTGGCGGACAAGCTTTTTAAGTCAAAGCTCTTCTGACTTTGACCTTTTACCTAGTGACCTCAGAATGAATAGGGGTCATCTACTAGACATAACCAACCTCAGAACCAAATATGAAGACTTGACCAAAACAATTTTAAGCAAATAAGCGGACAAGCTATTTGATGTAAAGGCCCATGTGACCTTCTGAGCAAGTGACCTTAGAATTAATAAGGGGTATCTAAATGACATTACCAACGTGCATGCCGAATATGAAGACTGTAGGTCAAAGGATTATTGGGCGGGCAAGCTTTTTCAAGTCAAGGCCCCTATGACATTGATCTTTGACCTGGTGACCTCAAAATCAACAGGGACCATCTACCTATCATGACCAGTCTCAATACCATATATAAAGACTGTGGATCAAAGGAATCCTACGTTATTGGGCGATTAAAAGCTTTTGAAGTCAATGACCCTATTACCTTGACCTTTAACTAAGTGACCTCAAAATCAATAGGAGTCATTTAATATCAATGACTAACATTCAATCTAAATATAAAGACTTAGAGTCAAAGATTTTTAAAGTTATTGGGCGGACAATCTTTTTGAAGTCAATGTCCCTGTAACCTCGGCCTTTCACATGGTGCCCTCAAAATCAATAGGGGTAATCTACTAATCATGACCAATTTTAGTACTAAATATTAAGACTGTGGGTCAAAGGAATCTTAAGTTATTTGGCGGACAAGGAAAAACCGACCGACGGCCGGACGCCCGACAGTCGGACGGACAACCTGAT